TAGATTCTTAATAGAAGAGGGAAGCTCCACCAAACTTGTGCAGTCCTCAAGTTTCAATTCCTCGAGATTAGCAGCTTTTGAAAGATTTGGGATTTCTTTCAATTTACGGGATTCCCACAGATCTATGATCTTGAGATTAGGAAGGGACTGCATGTTAAACACAACCAATGAGAAATATTTCTTATTTAAATTGAAGCACTAGAAACAATATCAAATACCAAACCTGGATTCCTCCCCAGAGCTTCTCGAGGTTGCTGCGTGGCATACGGAGTTTCACGAGGCGTTCCGGCTGAAATCTTAAAGGCAGACTTTTTCTTGAGTAATTATACCAATCTAGTAACCTTAGACGAGGTAAATACTGCATATCCTCTGGTATTTGCAAACTCCTATAGATTCTTAGGAATCGGAGATTACGCATTCCTTCAAAAGCCCCCTTACTTACAGAAACTTCTCCGATATTGGATGTATCAAATGATATACCTATGACTGATCCAGTACCCTACAAAATAACATTGCCAAAGACTGATGAAATTGTTATCACTAAAAATAGGCAATATACATGTAAGAACTTAAACTTACTGTTTCAGTTGTCAGTACATCACAAATCTCTTCCGCCTCAGTTAAAAATTGACGTTTCCCGGGCTCGTCAGACTGTTCATGAACTATCTGTCTACCCAATTGTTGTAGTAGATGGTGCATCACTATACGGCCATAGGTAGATTTATGCACGAGAGATTTATCGGCTAGGGTCTCTAACCCATTCCTAACATCCAAGTTACTATCAGAAAGCACAGATATCACATTATCAACGACTTCATGGTTGAAGACGCATGCAATGTGAAGGAATAGAGATTGATTTTTCTTCGACAATCTGTCGAATCCCACTTTTAAAATGTCTTCAACTTTTCCATCAAGACTTCCATCAATTCTAGATAATTGAAGTTCCCACTCGTCCTTGCTCTGCCCACGTAAAGATGAACCCACGACACAAAGGCCTAATGGAAGCTTGCCGCAAAGCTCTGCTACTTTATTGGCAAGCTCTTCAAAACCATCTGGTACAGAGCTTTGTTTGAAAGCAGAGAGACATAAGATCTCCAGAGCTTCTTCCTCGGATGGAAAATCCACATGATAGATATCGTTGATCCCATGTGCCTTCAAAATCTTCTTATCTTCTGTGGTAACGATGATTCGGCTTCCAGAACCAAACCAAGAAGGTTCTTTAGCCAATACCTCTAATTGCTCTAGATCATCTACATCATCAAGAATGATGAGCACTCTTTGATATTGTAGCCATTCTTTGATTGCACCTAAATGACGTATTTTCATATTCTCTTGGTTCAAAATCTTAGACAGAATTTGGTTTTGCAACCACAACTTGGAATCATGCTCATCAACACCCATTCTGCTCTTAAGACTACCCTTGAGGTTCCCCATAAAACATTTAAGTTGAAAAATGCTAGAGAGTTGGTTGTCTAAAGCTCTAGCAATGGTGGACTTACCAATCCCTGCAGGACCCCAAATCCCAATCATCTTGACTTCATCACTTTCCAAGCATAACATAGAGTTCAAATTTGTCAAGTGAGCTTCAAGTCCCACCATACCGTCAAAATCCCTCGACGGTGTAAGATTAAGTTTGTTTGAAACATCTGTACCAATCTTTTGGATCATCTCTGCTTCATTAGGCCTAGCAAAAGCAAAACAAATTCAATTTGGTGGGTCGAAATTTACAAAAACTTTCTTGAGGAACATAAAAGCACTAAAATTCATTGAGACATACCAGTTAAGAGAGTGTTCTCCAGCTATGGTTGCGACATGTGCCAAAGCTTCGATCCATCTCTGCTTCACCTCCTCAGTTTTCCCTTGACAAGTCTTCTCGAAAGCTTTCCCGAACTCTCCCCTCTGTTTTTTAACATCTGACGGATCAACTTGGTAAAAAATGGTCATCACAGTCTGCCCTTGAGCTTCTTTGCACTTCAAGATTTCAAGCAGTTCATCTAAACACCAGCTTGAAGAAGCGTACTTCTTCGAGAGCAACACAATCGAAACTCTAGATTCTCTAATCGCTTGTACGAGCTCAGGTCCGATAGTGTTGCCTCTATCGATCTTCTGATCATTGAAAGTCGTGATACCTTTGCTGGCAAAGAGATTGTGTAAATGACTGAGAAACCCTCTACGGACATCTGGACCATGGAAGCTCGAAAAGACTTGGTATCTCTTGATGCAAGACGACGAAGAAGAAGAAGAAGCCATGAAAGATCACAAATGCTTGAACTTGAAGAAAGTATTTTTAGAATGGTATTGGAGAAAGTATGATTGAAAAAAAGCAAGATCCTTTGGTTATTTATCGAAGCAAAAAAAACGCGTAAAAGGAGAAGAGAAATTTCGAAGAAATTGGAATGTAATTGGTGGTACTGAAGAAATACAAAATAGAAGGTGAGAAATTTCAAAGGAAAGACTCGACCACAATCACTCATTAAAGCTTTGCCATGTGAAATGAGCACAGAGAGTCATAAGTATCAGAGAGTCAGAAGTTGGAAGAAGACGACGAATCAGGAAGTTTCAAATGAGGGGGTTCTCTTCTCAACCACATACCACATTTTGTATATTTGGTTTGAAAAGTAAACCGGTTCTTTTATTTGTTTTAAATTGATGAATAACAATAATATCGAATTGACCATTTGAATCATCAAGTTCCAAAATTTCTTTGCAAAGTTTGCAAACGCTGGAATTTGATAGTTTACTTATTCAGCAAGAAATTAATTTCTGCTTTTGGGAATGATGATTTTGGATGTTTAATTTAGGTTTAATTGAAATAACGTGTGGCTTCTTTTTTAAGTTTCATGGAAGACACTCAGTTTCACGGAAAGTCGGCTTTTTCATACCTGCACATATGAAGTGTGTTGAATTCATACATTTGACTTCTACGTGTGCTAAATCATACATGCACTTTTAAGAAATTTGAATTTCAAACCCGAAGTTAACTTTTTGTGCCAAATCCTACAAAAACGTGCAAAATATTTAACACTGTTAACCCACCGTGAAATCGTAGTGATGTGGATTACACGTGTACAACGTCAACATAAAACGACGTCGTTTTACTTAAAATCAAAATTTTCAAAAAATTAGACATTTTAAGTCTCGAACCCAGGACCTCTAATATGCAAAGACAACTCATAACCAATATGCTAACAGAACTCTCATTGTATCAGTAACCAAACCTTTATTTATAGGGTTCTTTTTATTTTTTCTTCCTCTTCTCCTCTTTCTTCTCCAGTTTCACATCGTTGTTAAACTCCACAATCTCTATAGAATACGAAACGACAATTCGTTGTAGTTACTAGTTCGATGGCTCTTCTTCCTCCAAATTGGCTCAGATGATGACGTCTCCCTCTTGCTCGATTGCTTCTTCATGAGTTTGGTCAGATTAAATCCCCAAACCTAGTCGATTTGATTTGAATTTTTATGAACATCAATGAGTTTTAAGAACGAGTCGTTTTCTTCTTCGATCAATTCGGTGAATCTCGAACCCGACGAATGTGAATTGATGAGCAAAACGATGTCCGCTTTGGAGGTGTGGAGCAGCCGTCGTATGGGAGAAGAAGAAGAAAAATAAAAAGAACCCTATAAATATAGTTTTGGTTAGACATACAATGAGAATTCGGTTAGCATATTGGTTATGAGTTGTCTTTGCATATTAGAGGTCATGGGTTCGAGACCTAAAATGTCTAGTTTTTTTGAAATTTTGATTTTAAGTAAAACGACGTCGTTTTGCGTTGACGTTGTACACATGTAATCCACGTCACTACGATTTCACGGTGGGTTAACAGTGTTAAATATTTTGCACGTTTTTGTAGGATTTGGCACAAAAAGTTAACTTCGGGTTTGAAATTCAAATTTCTTAAAAGTGCATGTATGATTTAGCACACGTAGAAGTCAAATGTATGAATTCAACACACTTCATATGTGCAGGTATGAAAAAGCCGACTTTCCCTCAGTTTCACAAGTAAAAGAGAAGTTATCACAGAAATTACGAATTTGACATTTTAGGGCCTGATATTGGGCCCTTAACTTTATAAACGGGCCGAGCTTGAGATTTCGGTTTTCCGATAATAGCGCTAACATTTTATCTTTTCTTTTTTAACGACTTCAGTTGATTAATGAAAAGAGTGATCCTCGTGGATGATGTTTACAATGGAATTTGGAACATGAAAAAAAGATACAATCAAATAAAAATACTTGTCTTGTTTTAGAAATTTTCGAAATTTTCAAGCAGTTTGATAGATTTGCATACAAAATTTTGATGTTTGCATATTTGAATAAACCCGAACCCGAACCCGAACCCCGAATCCCGAATCCTGAACCGAACCCGACTCGAAATCTTGAAATACCCGAACAAATCCTAAATTTCCAAACCCAAAAAACTCGACCCGAATCCGATCCGAATACCCAAACGCTCAGGCCTATCTGGGACGCGCAAGGTGAAGGCCACAACATTGATACTATATGCCATAAACAAATATTAAAAATTGTATTTCATATATGGGACTCCAAAGAACTCGGACATGTTTTCAACGATCAAAATCACACCAAACCAAAATTCAACATTTTCCTGCAACTTTTTTTTTTCTCTTAATTTTCTCGTTACACAAAGAACCAAGAAGAAGAAAAAAGAAGAAGAAAAAACTCTTTTTTTCTTTTTCTTCTGAATTTCTCAGTTGCTTTTCATTTCTCTTTTGAATCTGTTTTCTTGATCGGTGAGACATTCTACATAACCAATTTTTCAACGGTTGATTTTCTTTTTATCAATTTTTTCAATTTGAGATTGTTTTTTGGATGATCAGGTCAGAGATTTCCTCTGTTTCGTTTCGTGTCTGATATGCATTTGTATGCTCGATAGATCGATACTTAAATCATAAAGGATCTTCTTTTCAGGTTTGGCCTCAAAACCCTAATGTTGCTTCTTCTTGATCTATATATATCTTAATGTTCTTTGGTCTCATTTTGATTGGTTTTGTTTTCCAGCATTCATAAATTTCTCAAGTCGTGTGGAACAATTATTGTGTTGGTTTTATTGAGAGATAAAGAGATTTTGAGGATTTTTCACAACAACATTGTTTGTTTGTGATGACAAAAAAAAAAAAAAAAAAAAAACATTGTTTGTTTGTCTGATGGAGCAATTCAGACAAATCGGCGAAGTTCTTGGAAGTCTTAATGCACTAATGGTATTACAAGATGATATCTTGATCAACCAAAGACAATGTTGTTTGTTGTTAGAACTCTTCAGTTTAGCTTTCAACACGGTCGCAGAAGAGATCAGACAGAATCTAAAGCTTGAAGAGAAGCATACTAAATGGAGAGCTCTTGAACAACCTTTAAGGGAGCTTTATAGAGTTTTTAAAGAAGGAGAGTTATATGTTAAACATTGTATGGACAATAGTGATTGGTGGGGTAAAGTTATCAATCTTCATCAGAACAAAGATTGTGTTGAGTTTCATATACACAACTTGTTCTGTTATTTCTCTGCGGTTGTTGAAGCGATCGAGGCTGCTGGTGAGATTTCGGGTCTTGACCCTTCTGAGATGGAGAGAAGGAGAGTTGTGTTTTCAAGAAAGTATGATAGAGAGTGGAATGACCCTAAGCTTTTTCAATGGAGGTTTGGGAAACAGTATTTGGTATCACGGGATATTTGCAGCCGGTTTGAGCATTCTTGGAGAGAAGATAGATGGAATATAGTTGAGGCATTACAAGAGAAGAGGAAATCGGATAGCGATGATATTGGAAAGACCGAGAAGTGTTTAGCGGATTTGCTTTTGAAGAAGTTAATAACCTTGAGAGGATGCCCAGCAAATAACCTTGTATTGGTGCCGCGAATAAAGAATCACATGAAGCTTCTCCGTAACCCTTAACCTGAAACGACAAGACCAATTGAATAGTTGAACATTTGATGTCAGCATAGTTTTTCAATTGTCAGCACAAAACCAGTGCGTTGACTGCTAACTAGAAAAACATGAACATCTTGGAAAACATAAGGTTATAAGTAAGGAGAATATCATATGCAATTCAATGTGTATGCATCACCTCACCTGGCTGGTAGTTGTTCCAACAGCTAAAAGACCAATTGCCATCCACTGAAGTTTAGATAGTTTCCTTTTCAAAAATAACCTATCAAAACGACAAATTACATATTAGTTAGTTAATCCACAGAGAGAGCTCAGTGCAAAAGGATTATATAGAGAAAGACGGCAGACGAGCATAAATTCTCCAAAAATATTAGGGTTTGTTTGATCCTTTTTCTCTGCGAGCGGCTGTCCAAGACAAGTTCAAAGTCGAGATTGTAGAGGTATCATTCTTTTTATATGCTTGGGTATCAAAAGTTTCTTTTGTGATTCTTAATTATATTTTATGATGATGGATAGTTAGATAAGAAACTTACTCGATCTCCATATTGTCTCCGTTTTTGATCTTTCAATAGTTAAATGGTTTTGACGGAATTGTTAACTGCACATTGTTATGTATCAGATAAATAAGAGAAGGAATAACAAATAAGCGCACGCTCTTCCAATCTGTAGTAATCCTCGAAGTTGTTGAAGAAGATGTCCGCATCTCTCTCCAGAGAAATAAACCAGAGACTATCAGCTGCAGAAGAAGTTAACAAAAGTAAACAAACTCAGCAGCTACATAAGACATGCAAAAATCCGTCAAAACATTTAGAGAAGCAAAAAAAATACCTTAAATACTTCGGCAAGAAAGGGAACAGTAGCATAATCATACTTGTAACCTCCATCGCTTTGAGAAAGAGTTGTTAAAATCCCCTGAGGCATAAGTTTTTACACAGTGAGAGAAAGGAAAGAAAAACTTCTCACATTTTCGAATCTATCTCAAACCTAAACTCAGAACATAAAGAATAATGATCATGACTTCTATAGACTAATAACAGCTTTTCGTGACAAAAAAAAATCTCACAAAACTTCTTCACCTACATATATCGAACAATCAAATCAATCAAGCACTCGCAAATTTAAAACCAGAATCCACTGGAACATCGAATCTAACGATCTAACATGACATTGCTCGAAGCCGTGGAAGATAGCAATTATCACACACACTCTAACCGACATACATGATCCCGAAATAGATTTTGGCGACAATAACACCACCGATAACTCAATTTGTAGATCTATAAACTCGCGCAGAGAATGTAGAAACAAAGCGAAAATGAATCTCGGATTCAATCATAACTACCAAGAGAAGAAGAAAGGAATTGGAGAATTAGGGTTGGAAATTGGAACCTGAGAGCTGGTGAGAATGGTGAGAAGTACTGCGACAAAGTACCACGGAGTAGCCGCCATTAATGTTCTTCTCCTTCGTCTTCTTCGTCACTTCACAGGAGCTCTCTCATTTTTGAAGCTCTTTCTTCATTCTTTCTTCTCACACGATTCGCATCATCACCATTAGAGATTTGGTGATTTGGGCCTTTGGGATTCACTATTATCAAAGTTATGGGCCTTAAAAGAATTCTAAACACCCAAGGTTTAAGTCGATTACCAAAAGAAGTTGAAGTTTCAAAACTTGAAGAATCTTGGAGCTGAAACAATTAAAGAGTTCACCGATGAATGAAAGGAGTTGAGTGTTGAGGAGCTACATTTGAATATCAAGAACCAAACTTTCTTTGCAAAGTTTGCAAACGCTGGAGTTTGATATTTTACTTAATTCAACAATAAAGTAATTCACTAAGGCCGATGGAAACATTAATAATATGATTCTAAAGTAATTCACAAGACCACAAGATATCAAAACTTTTCTTAGTACTTAAACAGCTAATTAACTAGATCAGAAGGTAACAAGACTTTTCTTACTACGTAAATAAACAGCTAATTAAGGCCAATGGAAACAGGATTATGATTCTACGATCAATCAATCCGGAAAAAATAGTGAAAGTATCATCAGTTCATGGGTCACTTCTCGATGGATGGACGGTGTGAGCTGCAATGCTTATGTTTTCTCAAATGCTATCAACCTTCTTTCAAGGGTTTTGCCTTTTTTATGCTCACAACACAAGGCACTGCTCCAACAACCTGGAACTGTATGGTCTCCTTGTGTGGACTTAGTTTTGATCTCTGGAGAATCAGTGTCTTGTCGAAATTCCCTATCTCCTACCTGAAACAGAAAGAATATAATGTTAAGCGTCAAGTTCATGTAAACAAGAACCTGCAGGAATCCTACGTTGATAGCTTGATTCACATAAGCTTCTAACGCTTAGGTTCTATGGCTAAGGCAATCTACATTCAAACTCAGATAAATCCATCTCTTAAGATTGTCCCCAAAGCAATGAAGTCTTAACCAAGAATCGCAACGACTAAAGAACAGAGCAATACATCTTCTACAACAACCCACACACACATCAACAACCAAATCAACAACAGAAATTAAGGAGACTGGTCTCTAGTGGATGCCAAATACTTATGCTCGTTAATGGGAAGACCTAAACAATAACAAGTTACAAATGACTGGAAACGTGTGAAAAAATCGGGAATAAACTCGATACCACTAATGGCTAGTGTCCAGAATCAGTAATCATTAATCTTTACCGATCAAATGCATAACTAATTTTTAATAAAATACAAATATACTCAAGCCAATAAATATCCCTAATATAATGTAAGATCCATCTTCTTCCCCTGACTGAATCCTACGACCTAAGATGAAGGTTTATTCTTCTTCTACCCCAGATTCAGCTTTCCAAATTAAATCCAACAACCTATGATGTTTTCATCTTTACAGAGCTGAACAGCTTGAGGCTCATAATCTCCATCTCCATCTGTTATTTAGAAGATAGTACCTTACGAAGATGGTGAAGCAAAGTAAAAAAAACTGGTTTGGTCTCATGAGACTCCATGAGAATTCCACTCTGTCGTATTCACCTTCTTCTCTTTTAGACCATAAAACTTCTGAAGCCAACTCCTTAAACCTGTTTGTTTAGTTGGTATTGATGTTTTCATCTCCATTTCCATCTTCGCTGCTGCTACTCTCAGTTTCATGGCTGTCCACTTCGCTGCTGCTACTCTCAGTTTCATAGTTGTCCAATTTCCTGCTGCTGCTACCCTCAGCTTCCTCTGTCATGATCTGTACACCACACTCTATAATCTTGTCACCGATGTACTTGTGGTTGAACTCAAATGTAATCTCGCTCATAGTCACATCAACTTCATTGCAATTGTTTCGTTGGCGAAACAAGTCACCATGAACTATAAACAGATGTTCTGACCGAAAACTCAAATCATGATATGGAAGCTTGCAGCTTTGAACTTTAACACCTCCTTTGCTTCTTATAGTACAGCTTACACCTTTATATCCGTAGTCATTAACTGGGAAAATGAGAAGGCAAGCCTTAAACCTTGAGGAAGCAGAGAGAGTACCCGGAGCCAGAGGGATGGTTATGGATCTCCCTGTAGCTTTCTGAGTGAACTCTGCAGGGATTTGTTTACCTGGTAAGCATACATAATAGTAAATTGATTTTTGTATGATTCCTCTTCTTGATTCTTCATCCAGTTTAAAACAGTTTTTGAAACTGAGTCTCTTGGTTGGGTTATTGAAAGAGAAGCATACTCTCTTGAGTGATACACAATCGTCTGCTTCTAGGTCACGGAGGGAGGGGGGAAGACCCGGAATTGACTCGAGTTTTGTGCAGCTTTCGACAGAAAGCCATTCTAGACGAGTGAGACCTATGACGCAATCTGGAATCGTCTCTATATCACTGTTTTTAAGAACTAGATTAGTTATATATAGTGGTACATGTGTCAATCTCTTGAGGCTTCTGCTGCAAATGTTGAGGTGATCAAGACGAGACAAACATCCAGCAACTGATGGAGGGACATCTTCTATATCTGTATTTCCGAGATTGAGAACCTCGATGTTACTGGAGATATCTGGAAAAGTTCTCAACCGTGAGCAACCAATCATGTCGAGTCTCTCAAGAGATGCTAAGTTGATGTTGGTGGGAATAACTTGTAGCATAGAGCAATATTGAACATTTAGAATCTTTAGTTTTTGTAGATTCGAAATAGAAGAGGGAAGCTCCACCAAACTTGTGCAGTCCTCAAGTTTCAATTTCTCGAGATTAGTAGATTTCGAAAGATTTGGGATTTCTTTCAATTTACGGGATTTGTTCAGATCTATGCTCTTGAGATTAGGAAGGGACTGCATGTTAAACACAACAAATGAGAAACATTTCTTATTTAAATTGAATCATTAGAAGCACTAGAAAGAATATCAAATACCAAACCTGGATTCCTCCCCAGAGCTTCTCGAGATTGCTAAATGGCATACGGAGTTTCACGAGGCGTTCCGGCTGAAATCTTAAAGGCAGACTTTTTCTTGAGTAATTATACCAATCTAGTAACCTGAGACGAGGTAAATACTCCATATCCTCTGGTATTTGCAATCTCCTATAGATTCTTAGAAATCGGAGATTACGCATTCCTTCAAAAGCCCCTTTACTTACAGAAACCTCTCCGATATTGGATGTATCAAATGATATACCTATGACAGATCCAGTACCCTACAAAATAATATTGCCAAAGAGGACTGATGAAATTGTTATCACCAAAAATATTTATGTAAGAACTTAAACTTACTGTTTCGGTTGACAGTACATCACAAATCTCATCGGCCTCAGTTAAAAATTGACGTTTCCCGGGCTCGTCAGACTGTTCATGAACTATCTGTCTACCCAATTGTTGTAGTAGATGGTGCATCACTATATGGTCATCAGTAGATATATGCATGAGAGATTTATCGGCTAGGGTGTTTAAACCATTTCCAACATCCAAGTTACTATCAGAAAGCATAGATATCGCATCACCAACGACTTCATCGTTGAAGAAGCATGCAATGTGAAGAAATAGAGATTGATCATTCTTCAACAATCTGTCATATCCGATTCTTAATATGTCTTCAATTTTTCTATCAAGACTAGATTCGATCCTAGATAATTGAAGTTCCCACTCGTGCTTGCTCTCCCCACGCAAAGATGCACCCACAACACAAAGGCCTAATGGAAGACTGCCGCAAAGGTTTGCTACTTTATTGGCAAGCTCTTCAAAACCATCTGGTACAGAGCTTTGTTTGAAAGCAGAGAGACATAAGATCTCAAGAGCTTCTTCCTTGGATGGAAAATCCACATGGTAGATATCGTTGATCCCATGTTCCTTCAAAATCTTCTTATCTTCTGTGGTAATGATGATCCGGCTTCCGGAACCAAACCAAGAAAGTTCTTTAGCCAAAACCTCTAATTGATCTCGATGATCTACATCGTCAAGAATGATAAGCACTGTCTGATCATGTAGCCGATCTCTTATTGAGCCTAAATGGTTTGTCTTCATATCCCCTTGGTTCAAAATCTTAGACAGAAGTAGCTGTTGCAGAGACTTCTTGGAATCATAGTCATCAACACCCATTCTGCTCTTAAGACTTCCCTTGAGGTTCCCCATAAAACATTTAAGTTGAAAAATGCTAGAGAGTTGGTTATATAAAGCTCTAGCAATGGTAGTCTTACCAATTCCTGCAGGACCCCAAATTCCAATCATCTTCGGCTTCGCATCATCGCAATGGAGACGTAACAAATAATCCAACTTCCTTAAGTGAGCTTCAAGTCCCACAATCCCCTCAAAATCCATTGAAGGTGTAAGATTAAGTTTGTTTGAAACATCTGTAGCAATCTTTTGGATCATCTCTGCTTCATTAGGCCTAGCAAAAGCAAAACAAAATCAAGTTGGTGGGTCTAATTTACAAAAAAAACTTGCTTGAGAAAGATAAAAACAAAATGGCGTTGGTGGGTCTAAAATTGATTGAGACATACCAATTAAGAGAGTGTTCCCCAGCAATGGTTGCGACATGTGCCAAAGCTTCGATCCATCTCAGCTTTACATCCTCAGTTTTCCCTTGACAAGTCTTCTCGAAAGCTTTCCCGAAGTCTCCCCTCTGTTTTTTAACATCAGACGGATCAACTTGGTAAAAAATGGTCATCACAATCTGACCATCATCTTCTTTGCATCTCAAGATTTCAAGCAGTTCATCTAAACACCAGCTGGAAGAAGCGTAATTCTTCGAGAGCACCACTATCGAGACTCTAGATTCTCTAATCGCTTGTACGAGCTCAGGTCCGATCGTCTGGCTTCTCTCGATCTTCTCATCATTGAAAGTCGTGATACCTTTGCTTGCAAAGTGATTGCGTAAATGACTGAGAAACCCGCTACGGACATCTGGACCATGGAAGCTCGAAAAGACTTGGTATCTCTTGATGCAAGACAAAGAAGAAGAAGAAGCCATAAGAGATCACTATGGTTTTGAACTTGAAGTAAGTATTCTTAGAATGGTATTGGAGAAAGTATGATTGGAAAAGCAAGAGTTCCTTTGGTTAAGTATTGAAGCAAAAAAACGTAAAGAGCCGAGAAATTTCGAAGAAATTGGAAAATAAAAGTGAAAGTGAAAGTGTGTTTCCACGAAGTACTCGGCTACCCACTAAAGTGTGGGATGACCAATGGCTTTTTTGTAAAGCTTGTCAATTGCCGGTGAAATGAGTACAGAGTTGAAAGTAGACGACGAATCAGGAAATTTCAAATTAGGGTTCTCAATTTTCAACTACATTCCAATTCTTTGTAAATATGGTTTGGAAACTTAACCGGGTCTTTCATTTGGTTTTAAATGGATAATAAAACCGGATTGACCTTTAAAAAGACTGATATTTGGGCCTGTAACTTTCTGAATGGGCCGAGCAGAGGTGGTTTAGCCGTTACACATGCAACTAAAGTTTTCGAGTGAGATATAAAAGAAACGTGAACTGCTCTTATTTTACCTCTCGTGAACTGCCCCAATTATTCCTTTTTTTTATCTTCATAGAAAATGCTAATATGAACTCATACAAATGACCATTATCACCAGGGCAAGTTTTTTTATAAGCCCTGAGTAGATGATGAAGAAATTCTGTTTTTGGAGTCATTTAAATGTTATTTGTTGTTTATACTTTCTTCTTGTGTGTTGTTAAGCCATCTTTTGGACTATGTCGTATGGCTTCTTTTTTAAGTTTTATGGAAGACAATTTTTTGATGTTTCATAGTCTTCTAATCTCCATTTATGTGGTGGTTGCTGTTACTACTCCAGTTACACAGTAAAAGAGAAGTTGAAAATTTATCAGAGTCACAATTTTTCTGAATATAAACAGATGTCCTGACAGATCTGATAGAAAGATGAGTTCACCCCTAGTGAGGAGCCACATTAAGAAACATTATTGATATGTACATTTTTCACATTTTCTCTACATTCTTCTTATTAGCTGCTCTTATCTTTTCTTCTACATTGAAGGCACCTTCTTCGTAAATAACTAAAAAGTAAAAAGTAAAAACACCAATCAATAATACAAGACTCATTCAAATGACCATTTTAGGCTTGAACCAGGAGAAGCTTTTATAGACCAGTCTCAGCCGCCAAATGTTCTTGAAGTTCTCCAAACTCCATCAAGTCTCCATGAATGCAAGTTTAAGATCAAAAGTTCAAGGCCAATTGTAGACTGTATAAAGTAATTCACTAAGGCCGATGGAAACAGGATTATGATTCTAAAGTAATTCACAAGATCACAAGATAACAAAACTTTTCTTAGTACTTAAACAGCTAACTAACTAGATCACAAGGTAACAAGACTTTTCTTAGTACTTCAACAGCTAATTAAGACCAATGGAAACATGATTATGATTCTAAAGATCAATCAATCTGGCAAAAATAGTGAAAGTATCATCAGTTCGTTGGAAGGTGTGAGCTGCAATCCTTCTGTTTTCTCTAATGCTATCAAACTTCTGCCTTTTATGCTCACAACAGAAGGCACTGCTCCAAGAACCTAGAACTGATTGAACCGTATGGTCTCCTTGTATGGACTTAGTCTTGATCTCTATCTCCTACCTGAAACAGAAAGAAAATAATGTCAAGAGTCAAGTTCATCTAAACAAGAACCTGCAGGAATCTTCCTGATAGCTAAGGCAATCTACATTCTAACCAGAATCCATTTGAGTTCACTTGGTCCATATTACAAGTTGTTCGTATCAAACTCTACTCTTTCAAGGAACAGAGTATCGTCCCTGGAACTTCAGTCTTCAAACTCAGATAATCCATTTCTTTAGAATGTTGACAAAGCAATGAAGAAATACAAGGTTTTGTCTATTAAACCAAAACTGTGTAACTCATACAGAACCTAGTGTAGTGACAATATTGGAATATGCTTTGTTTACTACTGTACTATTCAGTATTCTCAAATTGACAAAGGTTTTGCAAAACGAAAATAGATTTTTGTACATAGATTTTGTAAATCCCAATCAATCTCCATATCTCATACTAATTAAAGACAAAGAGGTGTAACTCATTTACTCATATACTAAGCTTAAAGACAAGAGGTGTCACTCATTCAAATTCACAAACTCACAAAGGTTTTGCAAGACGAAACAGATTTTTTTGTAAATCCCAGTTAATCTCCATGTCTCCTACTAATTTTTCTACTCTAAGAGTATTAGCGTGTTATCATATCTATAATATATACTAACTTAAGACTTGGAAACTGATGAAACTCCATCAACTTAGGGGTCTAGCTTAGAAATGTCCCACTCTATACTCTCCTGCTAGCAACAATAACAAAGCTTAAACACAAGAGGTATATACTTAACAGATTTGTCAAGAGGTGTAACTCATTTCCTCATATACTAAGCTTAAAGAAAAGAGGTGTCACTTATTCACTCATATACTAAGCTTAAAGACAAGAGGTGTCACTCATTCAAATTCACAAACTCACAAAGGTTTTCCAAGACGAAACGGAATTTTTTGTAAATCCAAATTAATCTCCATACCTCCTTATACACATTCGTTTGCATTTAGGGACTTGAGCGACGGGGGAAGAGCCGGAATTGTCACGAGTTTCGGGCAGCATTCGTTTACTAGTTTTGATGTTTTCAATTTCAGAGAACTTGAAACCTTCTGCTTCATAGTCTCCATCTCCATCTGTGAGGTGATTATCGTCGCCTCCAGTTTCGTTATATTCCACTTCGCTGTTGATACTCTCTTTTTCATAGATGTCCACTTCGTCAGAATTCCACTCTGTCGTATTGATGTTTTCATCTCCATTTCCATCTTCGCTGCTGCTACTCTCAGTTTCATAGCTGTCCAATTCCCTGCTGCTGCTACCCTCAGCTTCCTCTATCATGATTTGTACACCACACTCAATAATCTTGTCACCGATGTTCTTGTGGTTGAACTCAAATGTAATCTCGCTCATAGTCACATCAACTTCATTGCAATTGTTTCGTTGGCGAAACAAGTCACCATGAACTATAAACAAATGTTCTGACCGAAAACTCAAATCATAATATGGAAGCTTGCAGCTATGAACTGTAACACCTCCTTTGCTTCTTATAGTACAGCTTACACCTTTATATCCGTAGTCCTTAACTGGGAAAATGAGAAGGCAAGCCTTAAACCTTGAGGAAGCAGAGAGAGTACCCGGAGCCAGAGGGATGGTTATGGATCTCCCTGTAGCTCTGTGAGTGAACTCTGCAGGGATTTTTTTACCTGGTAAGGATACATAATCGTAAAATGATTTTTGTATGATTCCTCTTCTTGCTTCTTCATCCAGTTTAAAACAGTTTCTGAAACTGAGTCTCTTGGTTGGGTTATGGAAAGAGAAGCATACTCTCTTGAGTGATACACAATCGTCTGCTTCTAGGATGCTGAGGGAGGGGGGAAGACCCGGAATTGACTCGAGTTTTGTGCATCTTTCGACAGAAAGCCATTCTAGACGAGTGAGACCTATGACGCAATCTGGAATCGTCTCTATATCACTGTTTTTAAGAACTAGATTAGTTATATATAGTGGTACATGTGTCAATCTCTTGAGGCTTCTGCTGCAAATGTTGAGGTGATCAAGACGAGACAAACATCCAGCAACTGATGGAGGGACATCTTCTATATCTGTATCTCCGAGATTGAGAACCCCGATGTTACTGGAGATATCTGGAAAAGTTCTCAACCGTGAGCAACCAGTCATGTCGAGTCTCTCAAGAGATGCTAAGTTGATGTTGGTGGGAATAACTTGTAGCATAGAGCAATATTGAACATTTAGAATCTTTAGTTTTTGTAGCAATATTGTGCAGTACTCAAGTTTCAATTTCTCGAGATTAGTAGATTTCGAAAGATTTGGGATTTCTTTCAATTTACAGGAATACCTCAGATCTATGCTCTTGAGATTAGGAAGGGACTGCATGTTAAACACAACCAATGAGAAGTATTTCTTATTTAAATTGAATCATTAGAAGCACTCGAAAGAATATCAAATACCAAACCTGGATTCCTCCCCAGAGCTTCTCGAGATTGCTAAATGGCATTTTGAGTTTCATGAGGCGTTCCGGCTGAAATCTTAAAGGCAGACTTTTTCTTGAGTAATTATACCAATCTAGTAACCTCAGACGAGGTAAATACTGCATATCCTCTGGTATTTGCAAACTCCTATAGATTCTTAGGAATCGGAGATTACGCATTCCTTCAAAAGCCCCCTTACTTACAGAAACCTCTCCGATATTGGATGTATCAAATGATATACCTATGACAGATCCAGTACCCTACAAAATAATATTGCCAAAGAAGACTGATGAAATTGTTATCACCAAAAATAATTATGTAAGAACTTAAACTTACTGTTTCGGTTGACAGTACATCACAAATCTCATCGGCCTCAGTTAAAAATTGACGTTTCCCGGGCTCGTCAGACTGTTCATGAACTATCTGTCTACCCAATTGTTGTAGTAGATGGTGCATCACTATATGGCCATACGTAGATTTACGCACGAGAGATTTATCAGCTAGGGTCTCTAACCCATTTCCAACATCCAAGTTACTATCAGAAAGCACAGATATCACATCACCAACGACTTCATGGTTGAAGACGCATGCAATGTGAAGGAATAGAGATTGGTTTTTCTTCGACAATCTGTCATATCCCACTTTTAAAATGTCTTTAATTCCTCCATCAAGACTAGATTCGATCCTAGATAATTGAAGTTCCCACTCGTGCTTGCTCTGCCCACGCAAAGATGAACCCATGACACAAAGGCCTAATGGAAGCTTACCGCAAAGCTTTGCTACTTTATTGGCAACCTCTTCAAAGCCATCTGGTACAGAGCTTTGTTTGAAAACTGAGAGACATAAGATCTCAAGAGCTTCTTCCTCGGATGGAAAATCCACATGGTAGATATCCTTGATCCCATGTGCCTCCAAAATCTTCTTATCTTCTGTGGTAACGATGATCCGGCTTCCAAAACCAAACCAAGAAAGTTCTTCAGCCAAAACCTCTAATATCTTTAGATCATCTACATCATCAAGAATGATGAGCACTCTTTGATCGTGTAGCCTTTCTTTGATTGCACCTAAATGATGTATCTTCATATTCTCTTGGTTCAAAATTTTAGACAGAAGTTGGTTTTGCAACCACAACTTGGAATCATGGTCATCAACACCCATTCTGCTCTTGAGACTACCCTTGAGGTTCCCCATAAAACATTTAAGTTGAAAACTGCTAGAGAGTTGGTTGTCTAAAGCTCTAGCAATGGTGGATTTACCAATCCCTGCAGGACCCCAAATCCCAATCATCTTGACTTCATCACTTTCCAAGCATAACAAAGAGTTCAATTTTGCCAAGTGAGCTTCAAGTCCCACCATCCCATCAAAATCCCTTGAAGGTGTAAGATTAAGTTTGTTTGAAACATCTGTAGCAATCTTTTGGATCATCTCTGCTTCATTAGCCCTAGCAAATTAAAAGCAAAACAATATGGCGCTGGTGGGTCTAAATTTACAAAACAATTGCTTGAGAAAGATAAAAGCACTAAAATTCATTGAGACATACCAATTAAGAGAGTGTTCTCCAGCAATGGTTGCGACATGTGCCAAAGCTTTGCTCCATCTGAGAATCACGTCCTCAGTTTTCCCTTCACAAGTCTTCTCGAAAGCTTTCCCGAACTCTCCACTCTGTTTCTTAACATCTGACGGATCAACGTCGTAAAAAATGGTCATCACAATCTGCCCCCGAGCTTCTTTGCACTTCAAGATTTCAAGCAGTTCATCTAAACACCAGCTTGAAGAAGCGTAATTCTTCGAGAGCAACACAATCGAGACTCTTGATTCTCTAATCGCTTGTACGAGCTCAGGTCCGATCGTCTGGCCTCTATCGATCTTCTCATCATTGAAAGTCGTGATACCTTTGCTGGCAAAGTGATTGTGTAAATGACTGAGAAACCCTCTACGGACATCTGGACCATGGAAGCTCGAAAAGACATGGTATCTCTTGATGCAAGACAAAAAAGAAGAAGAAGAAGAAGCCATAAGAGATCACAATGGTTTTGAACTTGAAGAAAGTATTCTTAGAATGGTATTGAAGAAAGTATGATCGGGAAAGAAAGAGTTCCTTTGGTTTATTTTTTGAAGCAAAAACGCGTAAAAGAGATGAGAAATTTCCAAGAAACTGGAATGTGATTGGTGGTACTGAAAATGAATAATAAAAGATGGTCCGAGTCTTATGCAAGACCGAGTCGTGTTGATTGAGCCGTGGATAGTCTTTAGGAAGTTGTTACTCTGTTTTTCTATTTAAGTAATTTTTTTGAAGTAAGTCGTAGTGTGTAACTTTCAATTAAGCAATTCAATAGAACAAAATCAGTTCCATATCTGCTCTCTATTCATTTCAAAAAATACCAAATAGAAGAGAAATTTCGAAGGAAAGTTTTGACGAAGTAGTTGACGAGTCAATTGAAGTTTCGACGAGGTATACCGTGGGATAATCTTTTTACATACGAGGGGACAATTTTTTTTTTACACAAACATGATTGACTGAACCTAATTCGACATTTGAAATATTTTAATAAAATATTGGTAGTCTTAACAAAATAATAAAATGATGATTTTCGTGTTGTAGCACCGGATTAATGATATTCTAAATTTATATTAATATTTTAATTTTTTTATAAGATTACAAAGTATAATATATCAATAATAATATTTTAAACTTTCTATATATGGCTTATGGAGTTTCCTGTAGCTTTCTGAGTGTCTACAGGAAGTTCTTTACCAGGCTAACTCGTGTCAGTGGCTTTCAAATGGTGTATGATCTGTCTTCTTGCTTCTTCATCGAGTCTGATAGAGTTACGGAACATGAGTTCCCTGACTGAAAATAATTCGACTTTCTCAAGTGAAACACAATTGTCTGCATGTAGGGACTTGAACAAAAAACTGAGATCCGCCACTGACACGAGTTTTCTACAGTTTTCGATCATAAGAGTTTGTAAGCCGACTGAGCCAGCTGACGTAACTTGGAATCCTCTCTATATCACTACTGCTTAGGTCCAGTCTGCTTATATATTCTGGAACATGTGTTGATATCCTGAGGTCTCTACCACCTAGATTAAGCCTTCTGCGATGAGACCAACGACCAACAATTGATGAACCTCCTACACAGAGATTCTTGATGTTCTGGAAAACTTCTCAATCGTGAGGAATGGTCCGTGTCGAATTTCTCAAGAGATGCTAAGTTTTTGTTGGTTGGAACAACTTGTAGCTTTTTGCAAACCCACATCCTCACTGTTTTTAGTTTGTATAGATTGAAAATAGAGCAAGGAAACTTCACCAAACCCGTGCATTGGATAAGTGTCAGTGTCTCCAGATTTGTAGCTTTGGAAAGATTTGGGATCTCTTTCAACCTAATTGAAAAGTTCAGATATAACTTCTTCAGATTTACAAGGGACTGCATGTCAAACACCACAACAAATGAGAAATATCATATATATGGCTAAATCATTATAAACATATTAAAATATATCAAATACCAAACTGGATTCCTCCCCATAGCTTCTCGAGTTTGCTTGATGGCATATTGAGCTCAATGAGAAATTCAGACCGAAACCAAACAAAGAAAGCTCTTTAGCCAAGGCCTCTAATTGCTTTAGATTGTCTACATCATCAAGAATGATAAGCACTCATCTTTGGTCTCACCACGCAGAGATGAACCCACAACACAAAGGCCTAATGGAAGATTACCACAAAGCTTTGCTACTTTCTTTGCAAGCTCTTCAAATCCATCACATGGAGAACTTTTCTTGAAAGCAAATAGACAAAAGATCTCAAGAGCTTCCTCTTTGGAAAGAAAACCAACAGGGTAGATATCAAAAACTCATGTGCCTTTAGAATCCTTCTATCTTCAGTGGTAATGATAATCTGACTTCCAGAACCAAACAAAGAAAGCTCTTTAGCCAAGGCCTCTAATTGCTTTAGATTGTCTACATCATCAAGAATGATAAGCACTCATGAATCTTGTAGCCATTCCTTGATTGCATCTAAATTATTTACCCTCATATCCCTTTTGTTGAAAATCTTGGACAGAAGTTGGCTTTGTAAACACAACTTGGAATCATAGTCATCAACACCCATTATGCTCTTATAACTTCCTTTGAGGTTCCCCATAAAACAACTAAGTGGAAACTCGCTACAAAGTTGGTTATATAGAGCTCTAGCAATGGTAGTCTTACAAATTCCCGCAGGACCCAAAATTCCAATCATCTTCAAATCATCGCATCCAAGGCATAACAAAGAGTCCAGTTTATTCAAGTGAGCTTCAATTCCTACCATACCCTTAAAATCCCTAGACGGTCTAGCATTCAGTCTGTTTGAAACATCAATAGCAATCTTTTCAATCATTTCTGCTTCATTAGCCTTAACACATGCAAACAAAATCATGTTAAGGAGTCTAAATTTTCTTAAAGTGAAGCATTTCCAAAAAATAATTAAGTTCATTAAGATACGATTTACATACCAATAAAGAGAGTGTTCCCCGGCAATGGTTACATACCAACATGTTCCCCGGCAATCTGAGCTTCACCTCCTCAGTTTTCCCTTGACAAGTCTTCTCGAAAGCTTTCCCGAAATCTCCCTCCTGTTTCCGTACATCGGACGGATCAACGTCGTAAAAAATGGTCATCACAATCTGCCCTTGAGACTGCTTCTTCGCACTTCAAGATTTCAACCAATTCATCTAAACACCAGCTGGAAGAAGCGTACTTCTTCGACAGCACCACAATCGAGACTCTAGATTCTCTAATCGCTTGTACGAGCTCAGGTCCAATAGCGTGGCCTCTCTTGATCTCCTGATCATTGAAAGTTGTGATTCCTTTTGCTTGCAAAATGATAGTGTAAATGACTGAGAAACCCTCTACGGAAATCTGGACCGTGAAAGCTCGAAAAGACATGGAATCTCTTCATACGAGACGAAGAAAAAGAAGCCATGAAACAGATTGGTAAATTTTGAGATTGAAGAAGAAGGTATCACAATGGTTATGGATAAGCAATCTATCTATGGAGTAGAAAACAAGTCTCTCGCTTATATAATTGAAGCAAAACGCGTAACGAGAGGATTGAAATTTCAAAGGAATGTTTCCCTCAAAGTCGTCGATGACCCATAAGAGTGTTTCCTTATGGTCTTCGAGAACCTCATAAGGTTTTGAGTTTTTTGGCAATCGGAATTTTATTTCGTAGAGATGAGCTCAGAGCTGAAGCATGAGACTCGATGAGAAGATGATCGGAGGAAGAAGAAAGAACCAGACATGATTCAAAATTAGGGATCTTAAAACTCTCGATATCCAATTGTAAATTTGGTTTGAAAAACTGAACCGGCCTTTTCAATTCGATCAAAATTGGTTTTCTGGTTAGAAACAAAAAAAAAGAAATTAGAGATTTTCTTAGCAACCAAGAAGAAGACAAAAACAGGGGGAAAATACTGTAAAGAAACCGACTCCATAGTGCTTAGCACTAGCCCAAGACCGTAATACCCGAGAAACTCGATATAACCAAGATAAGAATCCCTCTAAGTATGATAGAAAATATGGAAGAACAACTAGAGATTACTTGAAAGACTTTTGGAGAGACTTAGGAGGGGTTATTGGTTCATAGATTTATAAGGAATTAGAAATCCAAACAAAAATCATTTGTTATTCAATCATTGATTTTAAAATTTTAATTAAAATCATGTGTTATTGGTTCTATGATTTATAAATACTAGTTAAAATCCTATGTTATTCGTTTAGTCATTTCTTTTTGGATTTGAGAATCCAAATTATGTTTTAATTGGATTTGAATGGAGTTGAAAGAGAAAAATAGAAGGATTCAAATCCATGGGTAAACACATGTTATTTCAAAATCCATATATCTTGATTTCATAATTAATAGAAATTTTCAAATTCTATATGGATTTACAAATTAATAAACCAATAACACCCCCTTAGAGAACTTTTAAAGAGTGTTCTTTTATTTGAACTTTCTTTTTATTCACTTGTTCAACTTAATTACAAATGAGGAGGTGAGGAGGTATTTATAGCCTCCAAAGTTAGCTTACAAAGTCTCTAGATTATTCTACCATCATCTCTATAACTCTACTAAAATATCTAGATTTTAACTTACAACTTTCTAGATTATTCTACATAATTATCTAAATATCTATCTAATAGAATTCTCTAGAACATTTAAGGAGGTGATGATTTTTCTATGATGCTCTAGAGAAATCTAGAACTTAAGCTTAACTTTGGGTTTTGTCCAATATAGAATATTGAATTATAAACCCATAATTAAGCTTAACCCAAAATCAAGTTTAACTTCAATAAATACAACTCCGTTTTTTCTTCTTCTTCTGAATTCCTCAGTTGCTTTCAAATTCTCTTTTGAATCTGTTGTATTGATCGGTGAGAGACACTCTACGTAGCCAATTTTTCAACGGTTGATTTTCTCTTTATCAATTTTTTCAATTTGAGATTGTTTTTTGGATGATCAGGTCGGATATTTCCTCTGTTTCGGTTCGTGTATGCTATGATTTTGTATGCTCGATTATTGATCGATCCTTAAATCAGAAAGGATCTTCCTTTCAGGTTTGGCCTCAAAACCCTAATGTTGCTTCTTCTTGATCTATATATATCTTAATGTTCTTTGGTCTCAGCTTCTGTTTCAAAATCTTTGTTAGTGTGGAGGTTGCTGCTACTAAACTCAGTTTCATAGTTAAAGAGAAGTTATCACAGAGTTACAATGGTTCCGAATAAGCCATGCCATCTATTGAATACAACAGTAGTTACTGTTGATGTTTTCAATTTCAGAGAACTTGAAACCTTCTGCTTCATAGTCTCCATCTCCATCTGTGAGGTGATTATCGTCGCCTCCAGTTTCGTTATAATCCACTTCCCTATTGCTACTCTTAGTTTCATATATGTCCACTTCGTCAGGTTATCTATGCATATGGATTCCATGGAATGGGAGAGAAGGCAATGGAGCTATTCAAGGAAATGAGTAGTGGTAACTCAGTGATGGAACAAAACAAGAGCACTTTCATAAGCCCATTGTCAGCTTGTAGCCACTCTGGGTTTATAAATGAAGGTCTAAGATATAACTACCAAATGGAGGAAAATTTGGGATTAAACCAGTTACCGAACATCGGGTTTGCATTGTTGACATGCTTGGCCGGGCAGGGAAGCTGAAAGAAGCTTATAAGTTCATCACAGGGATTGGTGAGCCACAAAAAGCAGGTGTGTGGGGAGCTTTGTTGAGCGCTTGTAACTATCATGGGGACACAAAGTTGGGAAAAGAATTTGCAGAAGTTTTGTTTGAAATGGAACCACACAATGCATCTTATTACATCTCGTTGGCGAATACTTATGTTGGGTTGGGAGGTTGGGATGAAGCTGTACGGCTACGGAAGATGGTGGAGGATAATTCAGTGAAGAAGCTTCCTGGTTACAGTGTTAGTGTTGGATAGTGCTTCTTGAAGATTTCCTATATCAGTTATTAGTTTAGAGAGGCTGTGTAAGAATCAAGAAAATAATATAACAATAATAGATTCTGTGTAAAATCGAAAGTAATAACATTACAGTCACAGTAAATGTTGAAATCAACAACTCAGGAAGTACAAAAGCCAAAAAAAAAGATTACAGATTCTGAAACTTTTATTGCTCAGTTAGTAAAAGCTGTGGGAAAAAAAAAAACAAAGAAGCAAAACTGATGAAAAAACAATCAAAAGCTTGACTACAACTTTTAAGAACTTCCGAAGCCAACTACTAAAGCCAGTTTTTATTGATGTTTTCATCTCCATTTCCATCTTCGCTGCTGCTACTCTCAGTTTCAAAGTTGTCCAATTCCCTGCTGCTGCTACCCTCAGCTTCCTCTGTCATGTTGCTACCCTCAGCTTCCTCTGTCATGCTGCTACTCTTTGCTTCATAGTTTCCATTTCCATTTCCATCTGTGTGGTGATTGAGCATGCTTAGGATAGTTTCGTAAAAATCCAATTCGCTGCTGCTACTCTCAGTTTCATAGCAGTCCACTTCGCTGCTGCTACACTCAGTTTCAAAGCTGTCCAATTGCCTGCTGCTGCTACCCTCAGCTTCCTCTGTCATGATCTGTACACCACACTCAATAATCTTGTCATCGCCGAAATCGCAGCTGAACTCAAATATAATCTCGCTCATGGTCACATCGGCTTCATGGCATTTGTTTCCTTGGGGAAACAAATCACCATGAAATATAAACAGATGTTCTGACCGAAAAGACAAAGACAGATATTTAAACTCGCAGCTATGAACTGTAACACCTCCTTTGCTTCTTATACTACAGCTTACATTTTCATATCTGCAGACCTTAACTGGGAAAATGAGAAGGCAAGCCTTAAACCTTGAGGAAGCAGAGAGAGTACCCGGAGCCAGAGGGATGGTTATGGATCTCCCTGTAGCTTTCTGAGTGAACTCTGCAGGGATTTCTATACCTGGTAAGCATACATAATCGTAAATTGATTTTTGTATGATTCCTCTTCTTGCTTCTTCATCCAGTTTAAAACAGTTGTTGAATTCGAGTCTCTTGGTTGGGTTATGGAAAGAGAAGCATACTCTCTTGAGTGATACACAATCGTTTGCTTCTAGGAGATGGAGGGAGGGGGGAAGACCCGGAATTGACTCGAGTTTTGTGCACCTTTCGACACAAAGCCATTCTAGACGAGTGAGACCTATGACGCAATCTGGAATCGTCTCTATATCACTGTATTTAAGAGTTAGGCTAGTTATAAAAAGTGGTACATGTGTCAATCTCTTGAGGCTTCTGCTGCAAATGTTGAGGTAATCAAGACGAGACAAACATCCAGCAACTGATGGAGGGACATCTTCTATATCTGTATCTCCGAGATTGAGAAACTTGATGTTACTGGAGATATCTGGAAAAGTTCTCAACCGTGAGCAATCACTCATTTCGAGTGTCTCAAGAGATGCTAAGTTGATGTTGGTGGGAAGAACTTGTAGCATAGAGCAGTAGTCAACATTTAGAATCTTTAGTTTTTGTAGATTCTTAATAGAAGAGGGAAGTTCCACCAAACTTTCGCACATCAAAAGTGTCAATTTCTCGAGATTAGTAGCATTTGAAAGATTTGGGATTTCTTTCAATTTACGGGATCGCTTCAGATCTAAGATCTTGAGATTAGGAAGGGACTGCATTTTAAACACAACAAATGAGAAATATTTCTTATTTAAATTGAATCATTAGAAGCAAAAGAAAGAATATCAAATACCAAACCTGAATTCCTCCCCAGAGCTTCTCGAGATTGCTAAATGGCATACGGAGTTTCACGAGGCGTTCCGGCTGAAATCTTAAAGGCAGACTTTTTCTTGGGTAATGTTTCCAATGTAGTAACCTAAGACGAGGTAAATACTCCAAATCTTCTGGTATTTGCAAACTCCTATAGATTGTGAGGAATCGGAGATTACGCATTCCTTCAAAAGCCCCTTTACCTACAGAAACCTCTCCGATATTGGATGTATCAAATGATATCCCTATGACTGATCCAGTACCCTACAAAATAATATTGCCAAAGAAGACTGATGAAATTGTTATCACTAAAAATAGGCAATATACATGTAAGAACTTAAACTTACTGTTTCGGTTGTCAGTACATCACAAATCTCTTCCGCCTCAGTTAAAAATTGACGTTTCCCGGGCTCGTCAGACTGTTCATGAACTATCTGTCTACCCAATTGTTGTAGTAGATGGTGCATCACTATACGGCCATAGGTAGATTTATGCACGAGAGATTTATCGGCTAGGGTCTCTAACCCATTCCTAACATCCAAGTTACTATCAGAAAGCACAGATATCACATCACCAACGACTTCATTGTTGAAGAAGCATGCAATGTGAAGGAATAGAGATTGATTTTTCTTCGACAATCTGTCGAATCCCACTTTTAAAATGTCTTCAATTCCTCCATCAAGACTAGCTTCGATCCTAGATAATTGAAGTTCCCACACGTGCTTGCTCTGCCCACGCAAAGATTTACCCACAACACAAAGGCCTAATGGAAGCTTGCCGCAAAGGTTTGCTACTTTATTGGCAAGCTCTTCAAAACCATCTGGTACAGAGCTTTGTTTGAAAGCAGAGAGACATAAGATCTCAAGAGCTTCTTCCATGGACGGAAAATCCACATGGTAGATATCGTTGATCCCATGTGCCTTCAAAATCTTCGTATCTTCTGTGGTAACGATGATCCGGCTTCCAGAACCAAACCAAGAAGGTTCTTTAGCCAATACCTCTAATTGCTCTAGATCATCTACATCATCAAGAATGATGAGCACTCTTTGATCGTGTAGCCTTTCTTTGATTGCACCTAAATGACGTATCTTCATATTCTCTTGGTTCAAAATCTTAGACAGAAGTTGGTTTTGCAACCACAACTTGGAATCATGGTCATCAACACCCATTCTGCTCTTGAGACTACCCTTGAGGTTCCCCATAAAACATTTAAGTTGAAAACTGCTAGAGAGTTGGTTGTCTAAAGCTCTAGCAATGGTGGACTTACCAATCCCTGCAGGACCCCAAATCCCAATCATCTTGACTTCATCACTTTCCAAGCATAACAAAGAATTCAAATTTGTCAAGTGAGCTTCAAGTCCCACCATCCCGTCAAAATCCTTCGACGGTGTAAGATTAAGTTTGTTTAAAACATCTGTAGCAATCTTTTGGATCATATCTGCTTCATTAGCCCTAGCAAAAGCAAAACAAAATCAAGTTGGTGGGTCTAAATTTACAAAAAAAAAAACTTGCTTGAGAAAGATAAAAACAAAATGGCGTTGGTGGGTCTAAAATTGATTGAGACATACCAATTAAGAGAGTGTTCCCCAGCAATGGTTGCAACATGTGCCAAAGCTTTGCTCCATCTCTGCTTCAATTCCTCAGTTTTCCCTTCACAAGTCTTCTCGAAAGCTTTCCCGAACTCTCCCCTCTGTTTTTTAACATCAGACGGATCAACGTCGTAAAAAATGGTCATCACAATCTGCCCCTGATCTTCTTTGCATTTCAAGATTTCAAGCAGCTCATCTAAACACCAGCTTGAAGAAGCGTACTTCTTCGAGAGCAACACAATCGAGACTCTAGATTCTCTAATCGCTTGTACGAGCTCAGGTCCGATCGTCTGGCCTCTATCGATCTTCTCATCATTGAAAGTCGTGATACCTTTGCTTGCAAAGAGATTGTGTAAATGACTAAGAAACCCTCTACGGACATCTGGACCATGGAAGCTCGAAAAGACATGGTATCTCTTGATGCAAGACAAAGAAGAAGAAGAAGCCATGAAAGATCACAATGGTTTTGAACTTGAAGAAAGTATTCTTAGAATGGTATTGAAGAATGTATGATTGGGAAAGCAAGAGTTCCTTTGGTTATGAAGAGAAGAGAAATTTCTTAGAAATTTGAAAGTAAAAGTGAAAGTGTGTTTCTACGAAGTAGTCGACTACTCACTAAAGTGTGTTTCTTTATAGTCGTCAATGACCAATGGCTTTTTTGTAAAGCTTGTCAATTGTCGGTGAAATGAGCACAGAGTTGAAAGTAGCAGAGTCAAGTTGTGAAAGAAGACGACGAATCAGGAAATTTCTAATTAGGGTTCTCAATTCTCAATTCTCAATTTCGACATTCCAATTCTTTGTAAATATGGTTTGAAAATTAAACCGGGTGGTTTTAAATGGATAATAAAACCGGATTGACCTTTTAAAAGACTGATATTTGGGCCTGTGTGACATTCTGAACGGGCCGAGCAGAGGTGGTTTACACATGCAACTAAAGTTTTCGAGTGAGATATGAAAGAAACGTTAATGTTTATGTACATACACATTTTCTACCTCTCGTGAACTGCTCTTATCTTTTTTTTATCTACATAGAAAATGCTAATAAGAACTCATACAAATGACCATTATCACCAGGGCAAGTTTTTTTATAAGCCCTGAGTAGATGATGAAGAAGACGCGGCGCGGAAATGCATGTTCCCGTGCCAGATGATCGTCTCTTTGGTCTCAACTGCAAATGACAATTTTTACAAAAAAGACAGAGATTTGGGATACAACAATCAAAAACAACAGTTTGTATATATCTTTTTTGTATCGTTTCCCTTTGTCTACTTTCCTAAGAAATCATGTGATATATATGAACTACATATACGTATGAGGGAAATTAACAAGAGTGACTTGAATCAAAGAATCACGAACTATATATGAGGAATGAGAATTGAGGGTTGTTTTACCTTTTGTTCAGCTCGTTTTTAGGTTTTTTCCTATACTTTTAGTGTGGCTTCTTTTTTATTTTTTATTTTTCTTGGTTTCATGGAAGAGACCTTAATTTAATTAACAGCTTCTGTTTCAGTCTTTATTAGTGTGGAGGTTGCTGCTACTATGTTTAGTTTCATAGTAAAAGAGAAGTTACCATAGAGTTACAATGGTTCTGAATAAACCATCTAGGGAGAAGAATTAACAATGATGTTGCTTACATTCAATAGCCCTGTTCTCATTATCCCAGTAAGTGAACTCGAAACAGAACCTTGCTTATGGTCACATCCACTTCATTGACATATGTTTTGTTGATTTGACAAGTCACCACCAAATTATATAAAACAGATGTTCTGATAGAGAACGAGTTGACACATCTGATTAAAGACATGCGGAATTACTCTTCTTGATTCCTCCAGTTTGACACAGTTGCAGTAATAACAATAGAATCAGTAATATACACATGACAGTAACTAACCCTAATGCAATGGTGTTGCTTGCATTCAATAATCTTGTTCTCATTGTCCCAGTAAGTGAACAGGAAACAGAACACTTGCTTACAATTAGGCACTAAAGGGACTACAAACGATCGAAATGTGACGCAGAGTTTTCATTTTTCACTCTCCACCGACTTTTCCAGTCTTTTAGATAAAAAATTTGCAGACGGTGGGAATTTGCTTACCTATTGATAGGTTTGTGACTTGAATCAAAAGACTACTATAAATTTTAGGAAAATATGAAATGGTCAGAAATTAATCAGAATGGAGAGTTTTCTTAGACCAAGCTTCCTGAAGCAACTTCAACAAGCATGTGTGTTTAGCGATATCCACATTCTCAACTTGAGAGACCTCAACATTTTGATAGCCAATGTTGCCTACAGCTTCAGGTTCACAGTCCAAATATTCATCATATATATCCTTCTTTCAAGATCTGTATACCACACTCA